AGTGAGGTGTCCCCCTCCTATTGGATAATGAGTTGGCCATCATTAATGATGGTCAACTCATTATCCAATAGGAGGTGAGCACCTCACTTGTCCCTCCTATTGGTCCCATATTTTGGGTCCCCGTAGCAAAGTTCAATGCGTGTATGTATATACTGTGCAATCCCGAATATACCCTCACTTATTGCATCACATGTGTGATATGTGAATGGGACATTTGTATTAATTCCTAGTACCTTATGCCGGACTGTTTTCTTTTGCTACCCCTCTTTGACCTTTCTGTCCCCATTTAATAAACGGAATTATTCCATAGTACAAACTAATAATTAGTCACTTTGAAGAGAGTGGACCACATTGATTATATCTCTTGATGCTTTCGGTGGTGGTTGGTGAGATGTTAGTTTCTTCAAAGGTAAGAAAAAGAAATTGAAACAACATAATGACAATGTAGGATTCGCTTTTCTTATTTTTAATCTCATTTCCGTGGTTTTTGATAGGAATTGGGTTTCCACGTTTTTGGGGTATACTTACCTATTTACATATCTATGTAATTATGAAGTCTACGTTGCTTTTTTACTCTCTTTTTTTATTTGAACCAAACAAGAAAAGTGCAAACAATTTTAATAAATGATTTCCTAAAATTACTTTCTGCAAATTCTATCTCATGCAAACAGGCCCAAAATCGATCGTCTAAAATGAGAAAGCTATAACTCCGTAATTTTCGAGATCTTTTAACCAACTGCTAATCAGAATGACTAAATTTCAAAACACACAAAAGATTTGAAAGATTAACTTTGTAATATGAAGATTTGAGGGGCTAATTTCAAAACACCTGGTTCCAAGATATCAAGACTTAGGGGACTATTTTTCAGAATATGAAAGATTTGGGGACGTATATGAAAATAAACCATTTGTAAAATATTGCATGGCTATGGTTTGCCCACGTCTTCGTGATCGGGCTCCTAATCAATAATTCAATATGGCAGAAGACAGCTCGTAATAAGATATTGCAATAGTTTAAAGGCCTATGCTCTAGTTATCTTATTCTTGGAAGTCACTGTGGCTATCGACTAGTATTTTTCAAGCCTTTGCCTTGATTGGTTGTGCAAATAGAAGGCTAATCAGTAGGGGTGGAAATGAACCAAATAATTAATAAAGAGTTCGATGATTGTTCGAATAAGTATTCAGCCATATTCGATTCGGTAGTTCATTTACCACTAAACAAATATTTTTTTGTATTCAAGTTTACTAACGAATAGAATTTAACCAAATGTATATTCGATTTGTTTGTTTATTAAATATTCGTTTGAAATTTGATCACGGTTTATTACTTGTATTATTGCACATATGGTGTCATATTTTTAACCCACATACCATTTTTATCTAAGTTTTATATATTGGTTTTAAGACTTAAATAATCTTAAATTTGTTTTCAGAATTCACATATATTAGTTCCTTTGAATTTTCTTCCGCTAAAGTTTGTACGGCCGGATTAGATATAGACTTCTCAAAATCCCAAGCGCCAAGGGTCATTATAAAGAAAGGCCTCCCCATTTCAAATTTATACATAAACAATTTCTTTTTCCTAATCAACCACCTCTTAGTAAAATTTTCACTAAAACCCTAAAGAAAAGCTTAAAAGTAAACATTTAAAATCATACTCTCTTTAAAAGCACGAGTTCGGGAAAATCTTTCTATGGTCAATATTACCCTTCACTACTTTAAATATTTCATTTATATTTCAATCTATCATAATCATAATCATAATTATATCATATCCTAATCCTACATGAACTATCTATAACTTAACAATTTAAAAAAATAATATTAATAAAATATATAAAACATCTTCATGGTATTAGTTTATTAAGATAAATAAATTATACATAGCTAACGTACTATAATACATAAAGTATTGCAAAAAAAAACCTAAAAGTTTTAAAATTACACAAAATACCCTGAAAAGTTTAAAATTATAAAAACTATCCCAACGTCTAAAAACTTAAAACAACAAACATGAAAACAAGAAAATAGAAGCAGTTTAAGAAGAATTTAAAATTTGCAGTTAACATCTTAATTTCTCAAAAAAATATAGAAACACTCTCAAAAGTTCAAATTACAAACAAGAACCTGAAATTCTAAAATTTTAAAACTTTCAAAAAATATAGATGAATTCAAGGGATTACTATAATACACCTGAAAATTTATGATATTTTAAAACTTAAAACAACAAACATGAAATCAATAAATTAACAGTAGCCTCCAAAGAATTTAAAATTTTTAATTAACACCCTCAATATCCTAAAAATTATACAAATACCCTCAAAAGCTTAAATTATATTAAAACAACCCTAACATTTTTTTAATTTTAAAATTTACAAACAACAAAATATGAATTCAAGAGATTACCCTCATACACCTAAAATTTTAAAATTTGCCGAAATTAACCTCAAAGTTACAAAAGTTGTAGAAAAAATTCTTTCAAAATTTAAAAATCATAAAAAAAACTCTAAATTTTTAAAATTTATAACCAGTACACATCAAATCTAAAAACTATTGGTAGACCGCTAAAATTTGAATTTTTTAAAATTAATCTATAATTTTAACAATTACAAAAAGCAACCTCAAAATTTCAGAGTTGTAAGAAATATCATGACATTTAAAAATTACCACCGACACATAAAACATAGAAGTTACAACTACCAAACTTAAAAGTAATTTTTTAAAAATACTCCTAAAATTTTAAAAATTACAAATCACACCCTTAAAGTTCAAAACCATAAAAAATGCTGAAATTTTGAAACTTGGCAAAGAAAAGTATAATTGTTAGGTATTCTTTCATTAAGATATATATATTTAATTTCCAATTTAGGGTTTACTATCCTTGTTCAGCATCTAAAGATAGTCTAAGTTGATACTTGTAAACAAAAACAATAAGAATTGATTAAAAATATCCGGTTAGGGAATAAATTTTTTTTAAAAATATTATAGCTTAAAAATGATTGATATCATATAAATTAAAGCAACTACATAAAATTTTATTAATAAGTTGGTCCAGCAAAACACGTTGGTAACATTAATTGATAGATGTTTAAATCCATAAAAATGATAAAATGCTATAATATAATAGCTTAGCATTAATTAATTATAATCTAAAAATATTAATCTCTGATGTTAATAATGTTTATAGGGTAAAAGAGTACAATAAATTACGTATGGAGAAGCTAGAATGTTCAGAGATATCCTTCAAAAGAATCAAGTTATTTTCATTGCAAATGGGAAAATGATGAAAATAAATCTAAAATTCAGAAAATGTTCATAAATCATTTGAATTGGCATTAACATAGGCATGCCTATTAAAGAAACACCAACTAAGTTACATTGAAGAATAATTTAATAATTTTATCTCAATCAAAGAAGAATTCTCTATGGAAGATATAAAAAAATAGTAAGCATTAATAAGTTTTATACTTTGTTCTTCAAATACTAAAGAAATTAAATATTAATATTATAATCTAAGGTAAATTGATAATAAAAAATACAGGTATTTAGTTTAAACCTTTGTGGAAAATGACAGGGATAGAGAAAAATGTAATATTATTGACATAACAAAAACTCTTATTGGATGCACATCAGAAGAATTCATTATAGAGAAAAAAGAGGTAACTCTTAATCTTATTTAAGTAATAAATTAGAAACACAAAGAATTTCATATATATGAGATTAATATTTATTCTCATTGAAATAAAAAAACCAAAGTCTGTATTTTAAAAAGTTTGTGTTGAACATCGGAAATACATTTAACTTCTTTGTGAAGTTAAATGACAAGATAAAAGATTAACGAGCCCACGAAAGATAACCGCACAAAAAATACAACTCTAGCCTGATATCACAATCGAGTAGATGATGAAGACACTACTCTAGAATTGCCCGAGAAAAAGATAAAGGTGAGGAAGGATTGATCTTAGCTTAATAAAAAAATAAAACATAAGGAATAAAATATAATATTTTCTAAATATTTTATAGAATAATTTAATTATTTTGAGTGAATTTAGGAATCTTCAGAAATGAGTTTCATGAGCTTTTTCAGTACTTTTATATGCTTGTGCAGATGTTTTTATCATATGAAAGTATACTAGAGTTAGCATTAATCTTTAATTTGTAATTTTTATGAAGCCTATCAATGATTAGGAACAAACCTCATATTCTCTTTCGTATCGTTTTAGCATACTTTTAACCAATCATTTTGTCTTATTGGTTTTAAATATTCACTTTCCTTGCATAACATCATTTTAATATTTTTAACTTTTGTAACATTGTACTTTCTCAAGTAAAGCTTGGTTTCATATCAGTCAAAATAATATAAAAATTTAAATTAGCTTCAAATTATATTTGTTTTCTACCAATTCAAATATCAACATGAAAATTTAAAGTGAGTATAAACTATTAAAGTGGAACTGAGGAACAAATTTTAATTAGAAAATAATCTAAAAATACTTAATCATGATATTTCACCACGTGCATTACACGTGTATAAAACCTAGTAAGTTTAAAAAATGCAGCACGTTACTCATATTCTAACTAGACGTAAACATTAACAAAGTAAGCCACGCATCTTAAATGCGAGTTTTTAAAGATAATTTTGGTATTTTCAGTAAAAATTTTGACCGGTAAGTGATCGATTGAACCAGAAAACCAATTTCGAAAGTGGTCTACGTATAAATTACTAAAACGAAAAATGGCTGATATACAATTACCCTATTTATGGTGGTTTCCATGAGAAAAATCCTAATGAATTCATATCGTATCCAGAATTTATGACCTGTATCGCAAAACATAACACGGGTGGATAACATTTTCTGCTGAGGCGCTTTTTTTCGTGCAGAAAATACTTGAACGCACAAGGCCTACAAACCACAAAGGCTGCAAGCCGCAACCAGGCATTTTCTTCCTCAACAAATCAAAACTGGAACGATACGCAACACATATATAATGCCAAACTCTGAACAAGCTTCAACCAATAAATAAAACTTTCTGCCATGTAGAAATCAAGAACAAAAAAAATTTGCAAACAGAACCATGCTAAATTATGCATCTCATAAAAACTGCTTACACCTTCATGACATGTTACAAGCTATTCTACAAAACGATACCGATTGCTAAAATTATCGATAATCTACATGTATAATATAGAGAAATATGAAATGCCTACGGATTGACTGGCTTTCCTTTCAATTTGGGGAAGGGGTCTTGTTTGCTAAGAACGACGACTTTGTTTTTATGAGCAAAGTAGCCTTTCATGAGATTCTTGTAAATCAGAATGGACATCATACACTCCACCTATTAAAAGAACCAATTAGATTTAAAATATATGAATTATACATAGCGAGAAAGATCAAGTAACAGCTACAAAGAGAATAAGAGTAGGTACCTCGTCTGCATCCATGTCCACTTCAAGCCACCTCAGAGCTTTGACTATTTGTTCCAACTTAATTTGGTGTGCTTTGCTAGCATCCTTCTGTTTCTGGATGATATATCTGAGGACATCGAGACAAAAAACATTTACCATAATAAGGTTTGCATCATCCGGTTAGCTACGTCGTATATTGAGCTAATAGCAGACACACCATGTACTACGGGCGGATACCCCTAAATCACTTTTGTTGTAAGTTTAATTTTCTTAGGGTTATTTGCGGTCAGACCCTTGGCCTATCGCTAAATTGCTGATAGACTCCTTGTACTTCTATTGTTGCAAACAGACCCAATCGATCCTCAACTCTGTTAGTTTCACGTTAAGACTGAGCTTCATAAACTGATACATATGAGCCTCATTAACTGATTGACTTAAAATAAACTTGCATGATGATCATTACATACAACTAATTTAAATGGGAAATTAACGGAGTTGAGTATGCAAGGGGTCCATCTGCAACAACGGAAGTACAATGAAATCTATCAGCAATTTGCATAGTACAAAGGGTCTATGCTCAAAACCTTTTTAAATTAGCACTTAGATTCACAAATTTCTAAATAGAGTCATCTTTCCGTTATTTACACCCGTTACGTGGGTGTCACATGTCGTCAATGCGCTGCAGATTAATCCCCTGATACTTCAGTGTGTTGCAGAGGGCCTTATTCTCTTATAAGTGTTGAACATATATCTCCTATCCCACACATAAAGATAACAAAATGCGCTCTGTTTGGGTATCAGAAGGTCTAAGTGCTAATGAAAAAGTTGAGGCAATCAATGGTTTATAGCACATGAGGTGTACCTGCAACTAACCCTAATATATTCTGTATAGTTGATTGAACTTACATTTTCTTAACCAGTCTTTGATATACTTGGAGCTCGAGCTTCTCCAAAACAAGGTATACACCTGACCTTAAAAACCTGTTAATGCTCATGAAGTGTTAGAAATAGATAATCTATTAACTTGCAAAAACTGTAAAGTGAATTAGTGTGGACACACACTGATCTTCATGTTCTTGAAGCGCTCTTCTAAGAAGCCGGACATCACCCCTTATTAGAGCTTTGATGACATCTGCATACTGCATACATAAATATCAATTCTTAAAATCTTAGACGTTCTGATTACATAATCTAATATTTAAAGCAGAATGATTAACTTGAAAGAAGAAATAAGTTTTACATAGCTAGAGGAAAAATACTCCTTGCTCACTGACACATTCAATAATATTTCGACATAAGAGGGATTCACTATATCCTAGTCTCCTTAAATTAGCAGGTTATTACAGTTTCATATGAGTTTTGGAACCGCTACATCAACATATCTCAGATATCAAGTGAGGGTCTAGAAAAATCCAAAAAAATTCAACATATCTTGATTAAGTGTTAGTGCAGTATGTGTGAATCTTCTCAATATCTGATCAATTCCACACTGCTCATCCTGATTTGTATATAGCTTTTATTCCACACAAGCTATATAAAAGAACATGTTTTGAGGGCTACACAACACATCAATGGTCACAAAATGGAAGGTGTTCGAACAACAGGACAAAATGTACCAACAGAGTAATGGCTTATAAGCTTTCCAAATAGAGGACTTTTTATCTGCTTAAGTTCATGATTTTCACCAAAAGGTGAAGAGTGCTGATCAGTCATTACTTATTAGGGTAACCCAACAATGTACCAATAAAACATCCTTCTAATCCAAAATATGTTCATACAGCCTCATTAATCTCTGACCACAAAGACTCATAGCCACGTTTAAGCTCAATGACGTTCCGCGTAGTCTGATGGCCAACTTGAGGGGAAGTATTGACTGTTAAATTTGTTTTATATGCATTTCTAGCCCACGACCCATAACAGCTTGACTTGTCAGTAGAAGTGTCATCTTATAGTTCTAATGACAACATGTCACGTCTCTAATCTCTCATTAATATTTCATGCAGTAAAGCATAACCAACAATATTAAATATTTCAAAAATCTTTGATCGTCAGTCTCAGGAGTTGAAGCATGCTGCATACCACCGTGTAGGGTAAAAAATAGCACTCTAAAGGTATCCCTTTAAAATAGATTACATTACAAATGATTTAAAAGTTACATTTATACCCTAAAAAATTTCTCTGTAAAAATACAGGTTTATTAACAGTGGGGTCCGATATCTCCAATAGACTCAAGAATCTATTGTTAATCACCCTGTGGGATGAACCAAAGGAACCTTTGATTAACAAGTTATAAGTTTTATATATGAACTCAAAATTATAAATAACATTAAGAAAATAGAAGTACAAAATAGACGTTCTAATGTGAGGAGGACTTTCACAATAAAAAGACAATTCTTATCGATTCCTAATAGAGAGGACTTTTCTATCAGAAAAAGACATTTGCTTCTTGATTTTTTGAAACTTTAGTTTAAGGACATTACGGTCTGCTTTTGGTTTGATTTAAGTTTAAAAATATTTCGGTTCATAAACTGACTTTGATTTTAAGAATTTCGGTCCAGATTTTGATTTTAGTTTTAAGATATTTCGGTCATATATTTGATTTTAGTTTCAAGATATTTCAGTCATTTTGATTTGATTTTAGTTTTATTTCGATCATATATTCAACTTGATTTTAGTTTTCAGACACTTTGCTCATGAGGTTCATTTTAAAGTTTGTTGGCGCTTTCTGCAAAGCTATGAAATCTTAAGTTGTTTCTGCAAAACCTATACATTTCAGGGTGTTCATTGTAAAATCTTTAAGCTTCAAGGTGCTTGCTGCAAAATCTGAGAGCTTCTTATTGCAAAATTCGAAAGCTTCAGGAATATTCAAGCAAATTTTTACAAAATGCAGGTTTTCTTGTAAAATCTGCATATCTTAGGGTCATTTCTGCAACTATGAGATTCTGTGAATGTTCTGTTTGACTTTTATGCAAATTTTTGGTATTTTCTGGATATTTCTACAAATTCTGCCTTTTGTAGTATTTCTGCAAATTTACAGGCTCTATGGACCTTTCTGCAAAAATGCAGTTTCTAATGGTTTCTGGGTATTAATAAAATTTGTGTAATTCTAAAGCCGCAAATAATAAACATTATACAAAGAAGATGGGTCAGGGCTCGATATATTTATCGAGTCCAATGGGCTTCTTCACTTAATTGGGCCTGTTAGTCAACTTGGCTCTGGAGTATTCTAAACCAGATTATGTTATCCCGCGGCAACTTAACAAGGTCAGTTTATTATTATTATTATTTGTTAACATGCATCTTTTTCTCTTTGAAAGGTTTGATGTGAGATTTCTTTTCTCTTTTTAATTCTTTTTAAAACAACTTTTTTCTAAAGACTCATTTTGTTTGAAAAGTTTCCTAATTATTTTATATTTATACATGCAGACCTCTAGGGTGTGTGGCAACTTAGTGAAAATGGGCCACAATTGGTTTTAGAACTGGTTCTTTTGAGAACCAATTTTAGTTCTGGACCAGCTCCCCCGGTACACAACAACCAGTTAAAACCTCTAAAATTGAACTGAAAAAAATGGACCATTTATGGCCGAATTTTTTCCAATCAAAAGACACTTCAAAACTGAACCAGGTTCAAACCAGAAATAGAGTTATTAATTCATATCTTTAATTTGTATCGAAATAGAGTTATTAATTTGATTCCATGTTCTATCTATATAAATCCTCTGCATGGTGCTTCGACAATTATTACACAAAAAAGTTTGTGGAAGAAGTTCTTGAAAAGAGTAAGGTAAAACGTTTTATCATTTTTTATTATATTTTTGTATAGGCGTTAATGTCTTTGTATTTTGTTAGGCATTAATGCTTTGTGTTTGATCTAGTGTTAATGTCGTTAAAAACTTGATTTGGCATTAACTTGGGTATTTGATCCGGTGTTAATGTTGTTAGAAATTTCAGTCAATATTAATGTTGCTGGAAACTTGATTCGATGTCAATGCCGTTTGAAACTTGATTCGGCGTTAATGCTGTTAGAAACTTGATTTGGCGTTAAAACAATTGGAAACTAGATTCAGCATTAATGACATTGGAAACTTGATTCGGCTTAAATGTTTTTGGAAACTTGATTCGGCGTTAATGCCATTGAAAATCTGACTCAGCGTTAATGTCCTTGGAAACGTTAATCAAATTTTTTTTTAAGAGAAACTAGATTCATATACAAAAAGGTTTATTTGTTTATTATTTTTTTAAAAGTTGGACTATGATGATTATTTTCTTTTTCATTTTTTCTTTTGAGGAAAATTATGATTATTTTCTTTAATAAAAACATTTGACTCTTTTTCTTGAAATAAAGAGAACCTTTTTTGACAAAATTGAGACATGTTACTAAATAAAACAAACTTTTTTTTATAATGAGCCACCCAATACTTGGCCCAACTCGAAATTCTTTTTAAAATTTTATTTAGCACGCAAAAGCCCATGTATTTAACAGGAAACATAAAAAAGGTCTCAACTCTCTCTTTCTCCATCCTTTTGCTAATACAAGAAAGAGGAGGAAAGAATCAGGCGAAGTGGCGGCAAGCGATTGAAGGCAATATGCGGCGGTGAGCACCAATGGTCAGAGGCGGCAGCCAGCAAGTGGTAAAAAAATTGAAAGGAAAAAAATTTACCCTAATGTTTGCTAGGAGATGGATTTTTGGTTGTGGGGCTCTGAATGAAGATCAGAGTGATGTTAGAAGTGATGAAGTGGTTGAGGGTTTGGATCTTTTAGCTACGAGTGCGATTTTTTCAGAATGATGATGTTTCTTTTCTTTCTTTCTTTCTTTTTTTTTGCTAAAGATGATTGGAGGCTTTATACATAAGAGAAGAAAGATGAGCTACTCATGATGGGAATTTGAAAGGCTTGAGAGAGGTTAGTGGGTTTCAAATTACAGCTAGAGGGTTCTTAAGGAGAATCACAGGGGTTACAAAATTGATGATTATTTAATTAAAAGTTACGATTAAGAATTTGAATGGGTAAACCCCTTAATGTCGCCAGCACACTTTGAGCAAACCGACATATTGCTCATGTTATCTTTATTGGACGAGATCTACTTCGGCCATTTTATTTTATTTTTTCAATGACTTAGGCCTCTTGAATTGGGCTTTTCCTCTTTTATTTAATTTTATTGTCTTTTTTTCCTTTTCCGGCCATCTAATAGGCCATATTTTTGTTTGTTGTTTTTTTATTTATTGGATTACCCTTCAATGATACCTTCATTATCACACATTTTACTCACTATTTTTCTATTTTGTTTATTTAATTCTGTTTGCAGTAGACATTTTTTTATTTTAATACTTAGTAAGCCGATTGAACACAACTCTTTATTATATTTTTTTCGAGGTTCAACATATGGATCCATATATAATCACAAACTCAACATGAACGCTTTTCAACAAATCTGATTTAAGGAAAAATTCTTTCAACAAATCCGATTTAAGGAAAAATTCAGTAGCTTAAGGAAAAGGACGTTCACTGCATACTCAAGCATAATTAAGTACACTGGTTAAAGAGAAATATAAAAACGAGTGGAAATAAAAGGGGTCTGACCTCAATAAGATTGCACTTCTCTATAAGCCACATTTTGGGCAATATACCAATTGAAAGCTTCACAGGAATGAGATACTTCAGAATCATCCTATACCAATAAGTTCAAACAGGAAAAAGATAGACAAGTGAGACATGAACTCAATGAACTGATGAACTTTGATGTAGATACATAGTGTTATCTTATGATACAGCCAACAGCAATATGTGGATGGAGGTCACGAAGCGAAGAATTAATAATTACAGACATAAATGATAATAGCATCGAGACATACCTTATATTAGCTTCATAACGACGATTACAATGGAGTAAAGCATACATAAGCTTTTGATCAGCCTGTCCTTCCACAGAAGGAAAAGAGAGACATTTCAGCAATTTGGTTCACAAAAAAGTACACATAATAAGTACAGATTACAGACATCATACTAAAGTATAGATACAGAAGCAAATGCTCAATATCATTGTCTAAATCAAGTTTCAGATTCAATAGAAAAAACTGATGAATAATGTCTGAGACTCGGATGATACAATGTCAAAAGGTCAAGATTTTAAAACAATAAAAAATAGTACATGTACTGGTTGTCTAGATATTGGGACAAATGGAGGCAAGATACCCAAAGAAGAAAAATAGAAAACACAAACATGAGGCCAAAGCAAAGAAAACATTCATAAAAAGATCACGCGGTTGCCATCAAATACAAACAACTTCATAAAACTTCATTTTTACAAGGTCAACATACAAGGAGTTACAGAAATGGCAAATAAGCAGCTCTTAGTTCAAGCGTTTAGTTGTGTACTTACAGCAATAAAATTTTCATTAAGCACTTCTAGACGCCCTGTATAATACATGTAGGTGACCTGTTGATGAATGGAGGTCAATCTCCAGTTACAAAAATAGCAATATCAATAAAGACAATATGCAAAACAACAGAGAATATTATTAGAATGAATGCATATTTCTCTCAAACCTTGTCCCTCGTGGGAAACTCTTCAAAATCAAAGATCCGAGCAGTTTCAATACTTCTTATAACACTTCGACAAAGGTGTACCGTACCAAGCTGTAAAAATTCATATTGGTATCTTGGAGGTTATATGCTTCCAAATTACAAGAATTGATCTCTAGTAAAAATGGATTATCATCAAAGTACAATAAACTCTAAACACAGATGGTAAACAACCTTGAAGTACACTTTAAACAGCTGGCAAGTTACATACAAGGCTCCTACACGTTTTGGGCCTTTACCCTACAAAATATAAATACACAAGGTAAACAGCTAAATAAGAACCAGAGGTTAAAATCAAATAGGTATAACAAAATTAAAGGTTTAAGAATAAGGCAACTTCAATGCATTTAATTAAATGATGGAAAACTGCTTAACATGAACAGCCATATCTGCTAATAAAAAGTATCCAAAAATACAACAAGCAACCATAGATGAACCTACCAGCCACAACAGGCAGGCCTGGTAATATTTAAACAAATATATCTGCCATCAATGACCCTACGGCATACAACTTATGGGCAAGAAATAAATAAATTCATGTGCCAATTGCTCAACCACAGAAACAAAATATACAGCGAAATGTTGTTCCTCCCTGATGTCTTCATCTTTACCTTAAAAAGTAAATATACGCTTCCATAATTTGTGAAGTCATTTAGTTTATCAGCCAAGAAAAGAGTCAGGGCATGTTTGGTATGTTATCAATGAGATATTGACATAATATACCAAGCACAAAAGTCTCTCAACTTATAAATATACTACTCTATACAAACGGGAGAACCCAAGATTCACTATTCATGGTACACTAAATGCTACGTTAGCATTTACTGTAGTATTATCACCGCAACAACAGGGAACTGGGTACCGTAGCAATTTTTAAAAAAACAGTAGCACACGGAATACTGTAGCATTTTAAAATCTGTAGCAGCAGCGGGAACTGTAGCAATCCAAAAATTAAAACTATTGTTGTAGCGTTAAAAAAATGGGGATTACTGTAGCAAAAATGATATGTCGTGCTTTACACGGTGTTCACGACTAGTGTGATATTGTGATGTATACTCAGACCGATACGTCTATAGAATCCTAGTATAACCTGCTTAAGCCCCAAGCTGTAACTTGGAGCTCACTACTAGTACGCCATTATCGACACTTCCGCCATCAGAAATCGTGATAATTATCCACTAGGCATTTAGTTCATTGAGCTTATTTTTATGTTCTTGCAGAAGCTTTTAGGATAGGGTGGTAGTGATGCACATCGTATGCTGATATCTTCCTTTTCACCTTCATCTAGATTTTCAACTCAAATATGTAAGCTATTTTATGACTTCTTAATCTAATATAGTCCTCTATCCTACTGTAAATTCTGGTCAAAACCAAAAAAAAACAAATTTTTATGTGTCACTACTGTATTGGGCGAAGATAATGTTCAATTAACCGAATCAGGCAAAGACGATGACATAATAGTAAACAATTCAACTTCACCAAGACAAGCATAAACATAATCGTAAAGAATAAGAAGGCAAACTCACAGCAAGCGCCCCAAACACTTTCATCAGGAATGAACCGGCCCCCTTCAGCTTCTCTGGGGTTTTCCCAGAAGAAGCCAGGTCTCTATCAGCCATCTCTGCGAGCACTCTAATCTCACGAGTCACAGTGTACAAAGCCTCCATCGCCCACGCCGACTCCCAATTCCGGAACTCTTGCAAGAAAGCACTGCAAGATCCCAACTTTAGCAACAGAAATAACAATTGCGAGCGAATCAATCCATAAAAATCGAAACTTGTGACAAGATTAATGAGCTGAGAGGAAACAAAAGTGCAGAAGTAAATATTGCAGATAGATTTATATTTTCAATGCTTGGTTAGCAACATTGTTCTTAATCTTAGAAAAGATAAGTCTACAATCAACTGATAGAGACAAATGTTGCAGATTCTCAAAAAGGAAATTCAAACATAAACAACAATGACCTCTCATCAAAAAGACTTTCTAAATTTTAAATCTGGTAACTTTTGCATCAATTACTTTCAATCAAACATTGAATTCGAAATAAAAAGTATATTTCTACAATTAACTTGCAGATATCCAAAATACCGATTTGCAGTAGATTCCCAACAATGCTACATACAACATTTGTCACTGCAGGACGTGTTATTTAAAACAAGTTACAAGATTTGAGGGTGTAAATGAAAATACAAAGATTTGGGGCCTAATATAGAAAGTTAGAAACAAGAAAGAATTTAGGCTCTACTAGGACAGAAACCCTAAATTTGGAGCACATCAAACTGTAAAATTTGAAACTTGAGGTAGTACCTTGCGGATTTTAGCGTGTTATACTAAATTTTATACAATCACTAAAGTCACACATCTAAACAGAAGGCAAAGCAGCTCCTAGTTTTGTCGTAAATTTTGGTATCCCTAGTGTCACCATTGGAGAACTGAAAGAACTATCAGATGGAGCTGATGAGACCGATACTACGCTACTTCAAAGAGAACTTTGCATGAAGGTAGAATCTAAAGTTATTGTTCAAATGGTCAGAACACTTGTCGAGCTTAACACCGTCACGGCCTTAATGGAAATGTGTATGCTTGGTGAATTATATACAATCGACTAAAGTTTCACATGTCCGACTATATGGAACACAAATGAGCTCCCAATTTTTCAGAAGTTTGTTCTTTTTATGAGATTTTGTTACTGGAACTTCAAGGCGTCGAGTTTTTGAGATAAATGTGCTATGTTTGCTATTAAGAAAAAGGCATTTGCACTCCTATCCCCCCAAAGCTTCACCTTTCTTTAACTTTGGTGCCATGAAGTTCTATTTTGACAGATTGACACGACAGAGTTCTCAACTTGAAGTTAATTCGACAATGTAATACATCAAAGCCCTAACTTTCTCCCCACTTTCCCCAAAATTCTCCACGTTCGATATTCATGAACAAAATAGCGTTAGGTTTCTGCACGTCAGTCAAAACAAAACTTCAGGGTTCAAAACCGATCAAAACCAAAGTACCTTGCAGATTTCTCGAAGTAAGCATACGCATCAGCGAATCGACGAACTCGATATGAGTGCACAGCGCGCAGCAAGGGGGACAGCACATCGGCGAGATCCTGAGGGTAATGGTTGAGGAGGCGGAGGGCGGAGTCAGGAGAGACG